GGCTATACTTTTGAGTTAAAAGTGATACTTAGCTTCTGTTTAAGGCCAATTAGCATTAGATTGGGCCTAATTTCTCCCCAGCAACACACTCATAAATATCAATCATGAATTAAGTATAAATTTCATCATATCTATATCTATATTTATACTATCTATAAAAGAGGATTGGGGTGCTAAAACTTTAGAATGCCCTTTTTACCCCTATTAAATTGAATAATTCCAACTTTACTTTAATTAATTAGTAATTAATTTATTTAATCTATTAATTTAAAATGAAGATAATTAATCTCTCTCTACGACCAACCTGGCAACTCTCACCTTTTAAACCCTATCTAAATCGGTTTCTCTCTGAATATACTAGAATTATTCTGTCTCTTAACCTTCTCTCTCTAACAACTTTTAGTTTTACTAGTATGCAATATGCGCGTTGCACGTGATGTATGTTAAAAAACTATAAAAGATGAGGCATTTGAAGGTCAAATCATATTTTGCGCACCATTTTTAAGACTATCTATTGAACATATAGCTCATATAGAACAAATACTAACAATGTACATTTCCAAATAACATCTAGTAAACACGTTTAAATCAGATAAATCGTAAAAGTAAGAAAGATAGTAATGACATCAATTACATCATCATTTAGACATTCTTGTTGAAAGCAAACATAATTGCAACTCTATTGATAAAAAGGAGGAGCAAATGATGAAAATAAGAGAAAACTTTGGAAAACGAAGATAAAAGCTAAGGTGTTAGGATTCCGGGTAACAAAGAAACTTGAAGCTTCATATGCCAAATTAATGACAACATGTAATTTGAAACCCCTGAACAAATCATAATGTGCAGCATAAGGCAAGCAATATCCATTCATCACTTCACCATCCTATAAAAAGAAGGAAAACAAACACTTGAAGGGGTTATAAATAAGAAAAGGAACCCCTTGTCATCTAATGCTCATCATCCTCACACTTGGGCGCCTCCTTGATCTCAATAGCCCATCATCCTATATATATTGACATAACATTTTATAAGAACAGGGCCGACCCTAGGGGTAGGCCGGAGAGGCCTTCGCCTAGGGCCCCCAAAAAACAAGGGCCCCACTATCATCAAATGATTGCATTATCTCTTCATAATTTATCTATAGACAATATGCTAATTTTTTGATGGTATATAACTTTCATCGTGCTTTATTATGCACATGACACTGTTTTTAATGCTGCTTGCGCATTATAACTTTTTTATGTGTGATTATAAGCTCCAATTGTAGAGGGACAATGGGCAAATTAACTGCTATGCATGTGTTGACTTTCTGTTATATTTTTTCAATCTATCTCTACAGAACTGTATGCTAATTTCCATTCATGGGTTGTGCTTTATGCAGTGCATCCTAAGTGCATTTCAATTTAAGTTGCTTTACTATATGTATTTGTTCTGTTTTGATTTATCTTATGATGATTGGATCTTGGAGTGTATGCCAAATACTTTGTTTTTACTATATGTCTTTGAAAGAAGCTTTTTAAAGTTAAAATTGATCAAATATTACCTTCGATCAACTATGTCACAAGAAAGATTGAATGATATATTATCAATTGAGAAAATGTAGTGGAGAAGCTTGATTATACGAGTGTAATTAATGATTTTGCATCTAAAAAATACAAGAAGATGCTTTATAAAGCGATACTTCTATTGGTTCATTGATCTTGTTTTGGGAATGAGAGTGTTAGGGTGTGATTTGTAGGCCTTTGGCTAAGGTGGGTAGCTTAGGAGAGCTACATTGTGTTTGATCCTTGAAATTAGTTATAGCATCCCTTGGTATATAGGCAGCCCTAAAGTTACATGGGTGCAACACTTTATTTTTAAAAAAAAAATCTTGAATATAAGAGGACCCCTTTAGGATTTTTGTTCAAGTTTTTGCCTAGGGCCCCCGAATGCTCAGGACCGGTCATGTATAAGAACATCAAATTATAGCTGCTAACTCTCACTGCAACTGAGCAACATATATTTAAAAAAAATACCAAGCATGCATTTAAAACGAATTTATAAAAGATGTACCACTGCATAAAATACCTCAGGTTCAATCCAGTGAAAGAAATCCTGGCAAATGAGAGAATTTTAGTATGAAAATTCTTAACACTCCTTATAATTTTGAAGTTTTCATATGGTGGGAGGGACTCTAAGACAATTAGCTATCTCCAAGAATTCAAGAACGTGTCATATTACAGTTTACACATTTTGTTTGAATCATATACACATGTCATATTGCAGTTTACACATTTTGTTTGAATCATATACACATCTGCATGTTTGAAGTCCACAAGTTAAAGTTGTCTTGATTTTGACATTGCCCTTAGATGCAGACGTAGTAGCTTCAGTAACTCTTGCTTTAGATCTTATCCTTGATGTTTCTAATGGAAATCAATGGAAAAAATATATATATTTTTCTATGAAAAGCATCCATAGTTGAAAACAGAAAGAGCATTTATTAGGATGGTACAAAAAATGTTTTAGACTCATCCTTATAAATTGCTTTGAATTTATCCTTATTTATTTCAACTTAAGTAATGTTAGAGAGAAATAAAAAGAGAGACATAGACAACAATTTTTCGGCAGTCCAATTTGGAACAAGCAGTAAGCAATGTTTCTTAAATTCAACAGTAGGTGCAATATACCTCATAAAATCATATGCTCAAGAAATCAAACCAAAATAGATCCAGGATTGTTTATTCACATTGAGGCTTGGATGAGTAATGAACAATTGTTTTGTTAGCGCACTTATTTAGTATACTACAATTGTTTTTCTTGACCATTCTATCATGACTATTGCTGAATTTATTCGAGAATGTATTTAACTACGCCATAATTTAAAGACTTTCACGTAGATCGCTGAAGGTTACAATCTGACGACCTTCACGACAACTGATCAACATCAGGAGTTACAATATGATGACTCATATTTTCAAGGAGCCAAGACGAATGTTACAAGGTGACGATCTTTACAACGCTCTAGCAAAAGAGACTACAAATTGACGGTCTCTTCATATTAAAACGCATATATCTCTCAAACCGTAAGGAATTTGGCGAAGCCGTGCTGTTTTAGAGATGAACTCTGCGTTTTAGGCTAAAAACGCAGAGTTGGGCCTGTTTTAGGCTGAGAACGCACAGGTTGTGCTGTTCTAGAGATGAACTCTGCGTTTTAGGCTGAAAACGCAGAGTTGAGCCTGTTTTAGGCTGAGAACGCATAGGTCGTGCTGTTTTAGAGATGAACTCTGCGTTTTAGGCTGAAAACGCAGAGTTGGGCCTGTTTTAGGCTGAGAACGCACAATTGGGCCGTAACTCTACGTTTTGATGTTATATCACGAGGATAACCTCTGCGTTTTGAGGTTATAACGCTGGTTCGACCTGTGCGTTTTGACTCTGTAATCTCTCTTCCTCTCTTCTTTTTTTTCCCTTGAAATGCAGTACGTGCAACGCACGTATTGCGTGCTAGCATTCATAAAATGAAATTCATAACATAATGCAAAACTAACTCTTAAACAGAATATTATACTCACTCCATGAATTCTCAAACGCAGGCGCGCATTATTTCACGACTGCAACTTTTTTTTTTTTTTTTTTTTTGCGTTACCGCATTTTCCCTTGAAGGCCCCCAGCCTGTGAACCCGGCCAAAAGGGTCCCC